GATAAACTAAATTTATTACAATTAATTTCTTCTGATCTTCAAGCAATTCATTCTCAAGATCTTATTCATCGAGATTTACATAGTGGCAATGTTTTACAAAATGCATTGTATAACGCGTATATTGCGGACTTGGGTCTTTCTATTCAACTTCAAAAACAAAAAGAAGGCGAAATTTATGGGGTCATGCCATATATCGCTCCAGAAATTTTACAAGGAAAACCGTTTACGAAAGCAGCAGACATTTATAGCTTTGGAGTTATCATGGCTGAAATAACAACTGGACAAAGAACTTTTGATGGCGTGCCGTTTGATAATAATCTTGCATTAAAAATATGCTACGGGTTACGACCCAAGTTTGCTCCAGGAACACCTGAATGTTACGTAGAATTAGCTAATCAATGTATGGATTATAATCCTAATAAAAGACCTGATGCTGAAGAAATTATGTCTTATTTTGGATTTTGGATTTATGAATTAAATTCTATTGAAGTGAATAAAATCAAAAATCAATTTTTAAAAGCTGATAAAACAATAGATTATGTTTCGATCGCCGAGCAAAAACATCCGGATCACATGTATACAAGCAAACTAATTAACACGCGGGAAATTGATCAAAAGTTGTTGGGAATGGTATTTGGTAGCGAAAAGATAGATAGCATGGAAATTCCAAAAAATGGGTGATTTTTAGTTGGTGAGTTTCGACGGTACGTGGAATTATGATAAAAATCTTGTGATTTTTTTTTTATCAAAATTTTTATGATAATTCTTGTCTCAATTTTTTATAAAATTTACGTATAAATTTGATTTAAATTGATCTTAATACCACCAATAATAATAACTTGAAATTAATTGATTACATGTTTGTAATCAATTATTATTGAGTTTCAAAATTTTCTAATATATTAGAAAACTTTGAACTGCAACAAGTATATCGAGCACCAAAAATCTATGTATCTTGAAAAAAATACAAACAAAAATTTAGAATAACAAAATAATAACAATAAGCAGTAAATTAATCGTTTTATTTATTTTGAATAAATTCAGTAAACATAATATTTATTACAGCCAGAAAGTATTATGATTATGGTTTTTTTAAATATTTGGAAGATTCCATTGCCTTTTAAAATAATTATAATCCTCTTCCAATTTATGCAATGGCTCAAAGTTTTAATTGATATTATCGAGCCATTTGTTACTACAATAATTTTTTTTGTTGCGTCTCGGATTCAGATTTATAAAAATTTTTTGCTCAAATAAATAATCAAAGTTATAGTCTTCCGGAAGGAACATTAAAAATAAATTCACAAGGTTTCCTGGTGTAATTGCATTTTCTCAACTAATAATTTATTTCAACTTTCATTCTTTTTTCGATTATTATTCAGACAATTTGGTTACGACAATATTGTGTTTATTGGATTTTATGCATTTAAAGAATCACTTAGTTTGTTGAGATTGTAATGATTGCTTTTCATTTTGAAGAATTGAAGAAAAAAACATCACTCATTAAATCACTAATACTAAATATTGTTATCATAATCTTAATCATGATTAATTGACATAACACATGATTTTCAAAACTTTTTTGGGTGGCGATTTTACCCCGGTCATCATTACCTGAATTATCTTGATCATTAGTATTATGCAAATAAGTTTGATTAAAATAATTGGTCTTACAATTATAATAGAATAATGCATATCAAAACTAGGATATCTAGCTGTATACGTATTTCAATTACATTAATCATTGGCATAATCAATTTTTCAGAGGCTGAGAGTGCTCTCAAGCATCCTTTTAGTGTAATTAACTAGCTATAGAAATTGTGCAGAAGTACTACGATTAATTGAAGTAAACCTTACGGTAATTTTGCAAGATTCTGAAAACTGCGATAATATATTTAAATATTCATATTTTTGTAGAAATTTTTAAACCTTATCATAACGTATTCATGACATTAAATTCTCCAAGATGATTTCTGAATCTGTAAAAATAGCTCAAAAAAAACCCATGTTCAAGGTGAATAAACAACATAATGCATACCATCCTTACAAACTATTGCCAATTAATTTCGCGATTAATTTATACAAAAGTAACTCATCTGTTTCGAATATTGCTTGCAATTCTTCTGCTCAACCTCTCGTTGATTCTTCCATTGTCAATTCTTCTGCTCTACCTATTGTTGATTCTTCTGCTCTATCTACTATCAATTCTTCTGTTTTACTTACTATTGAATCTTCTGCTCTACCAACCATTGAACTTTCACCTCCTAAATCTTCATCTGCATTATCCTCTAATATTATTACAAAACCTGGTTTAATGAGTGATACCAAATATATTACTAATATTGAGAATATTAGTGATATCAAAAATATTGATGATAAGAAACTTTGGCCTAATTCTATTATAAAATCTCTGCTTGCATATCTTTCAGATCATATGAAAGATTACCAGTTTAGAAAAAACTAATTTTATATTAAAGCAGCTCTTACCTCAGTAAGGAAAAAACTGAATCCCAAGTTGCAACAAAAATTAGATGGTTAATTAATAAATACATGAAAGAAAGTGCTAATAAAACAGGAAAAGGCACATCAAAATGAAAATTTTAAAGAACTGATTGAAATATTTAGTAATCACAAGAAAGTGCACCCAGACTACCTAATCGATAGTACAGGAAAGGTAATTTGTATGATTATTATTATTTGTTATCATACATATATATGTATGTATGTATGTATATACACATACAGTGCAGGAAATTTAAAAATCTTAATCTTTATGTTAAGGTAATGTATAACTAATATATAGCTAATTGAAAGTAAATTTCTTAAATTATTAATCTTAATACAATACTTGAAAATAATATCCATTTAATTAGAGATAAACTGCTACTTAATTTATTTCCAATGTGCTGGTTGTTTTTGTTCTATATAATGTGATAGAGGTTTTTGGATTTCTTGCACCGTATGTACATATGTATGTAAATATTTCAATGTTTCTAGTTTTATTTTTTATTAATTCTATACTATATAATTTTTAATAGATTTTCAAAAACATCGATCAGCCAGAAAAAGATCATTCATTGAAAAGAAAGAAACGTGGTAAGTTAAGTGAAGATGATGAAATCTACATTCAATCAATGACTACAATTAGTGAAAGTAAAATATTATCTGCACAAACAAAACAACAGCATTATAATTTAGAAAAAGAAAAATTATTATTCGAGCATAAAAAATTTGAACATTAAAAACACATCGAATTAGAAAATATAAACTTAGAACTAGAAAAATATAAATTAGAACTTGAATATAAAATGAAATTGAAGTTAAGCATTAAAGAAGTATAAGTATAATGTAGAGGTAAAAGAAAATTCGTTGTAAATAATAAATCTTAAATAAAAATTGGCCGTAAATATGTAATATGTAAATGATTTTTTTTATCTTTATTTTGTGGGAAAAAAATCACACAATGCAAATCCATTTTTTTGAATTTTCAATTTATCACTATACAATAAAACTTTGCTTTAAAATCGATCTTTAAAATTCACAACTTATCGCCAAGACGTGAAATTAACTTGAAATTTTCACTATTTGCTTATATAAAGTCAAAGAATAAAGCTATGTTTCAACTTCTTATATTAATATATAGATTTTGAGCATTCACTATATAGAATATTTGAAATTCATTAATTAAGGCCAAAAAATTATATTAAACGTATAAGTCAAAACTTAATTAGAGAATTAACAAAAAATCAAACATAGTTATTTCGAGATGGTTCTGATAAACTATTTTCAGTCAACAGAAATCAGAAAAATAAGTGCAATATTTATGTGAATTCTTTAGAATTTTGTGCTTTTCTTTATAAATAAGTAAAGTAAAATTTTATTTGATTAATTACCTTAATTTTACTGATCATAGTAAAATTATCAATGTAACTGATATAGTTTTGATTAAATAGTCGATGTGATACCCCAATGAAACATGCCTGATTATATTACCGATTACAATGCTGGAAAATATTCTAAATCGTTAATACTTCAGGAATTCTATCATTTTACCAAACTGAATAAAAAAAAGGCTCACTGCTATATAAAGTAAACCTCCAAAATATCCCCCTTGGAACCAGTGTGCACTTAGAGAATTATAAGAAAAAGTGCATTTAAGTAGTCATACAATATATATATTTGGATCCGAATTCAAGTATATATTTAGAGATGTTATTTATACAGGGTGTGCTTATAGAGGCTTCACTGTAATTATAACTATTCATAATAAAATGTTTATAAAATCATTATAATTCAAAATCCAATTTTTTTAAAAAATTCTTAATGTTAAAACCATTAATGCTAAAATTTAAATACTATCTTTTTACCAAACTTACTATATAGTTTATATTAACAACTCGAACTATAAATAACTTAAATTTTCCAAAAAAAAAGCTAAAAACATGCATCCCAAACTTCATATCAAACAAGACCAATTCTCGATCTCAACATCAGCAAAACA